CTTCTGATCTTCTTAAAACAGTTACAAATACATTTCTATTTTACCCTCTCTCTCTAAGGTTATAACATAATTTCATTCTTTGCATAATCTACTCTTTCTAATCATCAAATCCATAAATCACCAGTTCATTTTTTTTCTTTCCCCGCAAAAAGTCCATAAGAGGTTTCCAGTCACTAATAAATGTAGCTATTGTCCTTTCTCTAATCAAGCAAGTCAATTTTGAAAAGCATCATTTTCTCCCCATCCATTCAATCTCTTATTTGTTTCTTAACTTCTTTCTGTGTTCAATCCAGGCTCTGGAAGAATTGGCCAACAAGCACACCAACATTCATGTGATTCAGCTAGGTACAAAATGCACTCTTTGCCTTTCTATCCCACCAGGACTCAATACTTTCATGAATTCCACAGATGTATTTATGGAAGAAAGCTTGGCGATGTAATTGAGGGCACACCTTTGAAGAGATAGCAGCTCCCCTTAAAAATGTAAAACTAGAATCAGGCATGTCCCTCTTCATTCATATTCCAGGTCCTGTCCATCAGCTTCATCTTCTGGGACCCAGGAGACATGCCTTCTCTGCTACAGTGCTTGCCTGCTGGAATGATATTCTCCAGAGATTCATGCAACTCCCACCCTTATGATGTTCCAGAAATTACTAAAAACCTGATTGTTCTCCCATAGTCATGAAATCGGATGGTTATAGAGCCCCTTTTAGTTAAGCTTAGTTTTGTTCTGCTGGTTAGCTAGGTTTTCTTTTATTTGTATTTGTATTGTATTATTTGATTTATTTGTAAGCCACCCAGAGTCTCCAAGGAGTTGGGTGGCCTCAAAATTGGAATAAATAAATAAATTGGCACATCCAAACTTATCTTCAACAGAAATCATCTTTCTGCTTAAATGCAATGCCTGTCTCATTGCCCTTCTTCCCTGCTTGTAGATGTGGTGGACCATTCCAGTGTGAAGGCCGCTGTGTCAGTAGTGGAATCCTATCTCGGTGGTAAGGGCCTGAATCTGATAATCAACAACGCAGCCCAAAATTCCAAGGGGTTTCTGCTGGAGGCTGTAGAGCAGCAAGATATGCTTTCAGTGTACAATACTAACGTAGTAGGACCCATTCTTGTGGTCAAGGTAAGAATATCTTTATCTTCTTCGTTAGAAATTAGCAGGAAAACGAAGCCTCTTATACAGGAAATATATTTACGCTTAGGATCTTGAGACAAGTAAATGTGATGTGCTATTCAGTAGAGAAGAAATGGAGTTTCAAGGAGCCACAGCATCAAACAAGAACAGGAAATAATTGGACAAGGATCACCATGTAGCTGAATAGTATTTAGTTACAGGGAAGACAGTTAAGAGAGCTGATGCCTTCCCATCACCAGTGAACCTTGAGAGAGGCTGCATGGTGATCAACATGTGCTAATGAGATATTATTAAATAATGGGATAGAGGTGGTCACAAGAGCGAGACAATCGCTGGGATCAGTGAGAATAAAACCAGGACTGGATGGAGCAAGAGAAAGAAAGACAGGTCTTGATGAAGACATGCAAAGCTCATAACTATCAGATTTCATTGTTTGTTTGTTTGTTTGTTTAAAGAACTTATATGGGCACCTATCTCATAGTGATCCCAGGCAGCTCACAACAACCAATAAAAGCAATAGAATACAAGCAGAACAACCCTACTCACCAGGTGGCAGATCAACCAAACTCATAGCCTCCTGACTCCCATCCTAGCCCACATTTGGAGGAAGACCCAGGTCTTCATGGCCTTCCAGAAGGCTAAAAGGGTAGGGCTCCTCAAATCTCAGAGGGAAGACTATTCCAAAGGGCTGGGCACCTTATTTCACTGAATTCTGCCATTTCACAATCCAAAGGTTTCTAGCCTGCTATTGCATATGCATTTTAGGAATTCCTGCCTCTGCTGAAGAAGGCTGCCAAGGAGACTGCAACAGAAGAACTGGGTTGCAGCAAAGCAGCTGTCATCAACATATCTTCATTAATCGGCTCCATTGGGCAGGGATTTGATGTTTCAGTTCCCCCAGTATATGCCTACCGTGCAAGCAAGGTAACTAAAATCCTGCTAGGGGAACATGAACCACCAGAATTTATCCAACTCACCTACCTGCTAGTTTTTAGTTCCTGTAGCCTTTGATTTGCAAACTGAAATTGATCTTTGGACCAAAGAATCAGAAGGTTAGCATCTGGCAGGAGAAAGAATTGGCAGAAATAACCTTGTTAAAGATTAGTTTTGTTTTATAGGCTGCTTTGAATATGGTCACTGCTTGCCTCACTCTGGAACTGAAAAAAGATGGAATTCTATGCACTTCGATCCATCCTGGCTGGGTGAAAACAGACATGGGAACGGAGCAGGTACAGTGAAAGCTGCAAGATGGGAACATCTTGTAGTTTTCAAAATGGAGGAAGAGAAATAATTATATTCCATGTAATTAGGATTTCTCATTACACCTTTCTTCACCTTATAAATTCTGGGATTATAGCTGAAGGGCAATAAGATTTTGCAAGTCAACAGGGCTGAGATGAAATAATCAACCGCACCCCTTTGAACTATAGGTGGAGGCTCAATTTGTAGATTGTTCACCTATGTAAAATGTTCCCACCCACAGAAACTTTGCATTTCCTGGAGAAATTTCAACTTTAATCCTTTCTGATATTACCTAAATTTTCTATCTTCAGGACTTTTCTTTGGAAAGATGTTGACCAAACAGACTGACCCTCGGGATTAGTATAGTTTGATACTGGAAAAGGAGTCAGTCTTCTAGAGGGATCCAGGTTTTTCAACATTTTATGTGTTTTATTGTTAAACATTTACTGCTTTAGACTAGTCCTTAGTGCTTTATATTTGTTTGTAATGATGTTTGATGAGGGTACAAATTGTATTTTTTTAAGCCACCTAGAGCCAGGTTCCTCTCTCTCTCTCTCTCTCTCTCTCTCTCTCTCTCTCTCCTCAGTCAATCAATCAATCAATCAATCAATCAATCAATCACCTATCATCTATCTGGCCCTCCTCAAAATGCTGTCCTTTCTGGATGGTAAAACTCTGTTCCTTTCTTTTTTTGTCTCAAAGGCACCCTTGACAGTTCAGAACAGTGTGCAGGGTATTCTTAAAGTGTTGGCTAGTCTATCACACTCGTCTGCAGGAACCTTTCTGGACTGGGAAGGGAACTTTGTCTCCTGGTGAGTGTTCCATGGACCATGATCTAAAGGAGGCCCTCACAACCTGAAACTGCAATGGGTGGAGCCAGAATTTTGAATTTTAACACACTGAGAATATATTGTTTCAGTTTTATGTATTTTATTTTTGTATCTACCCATCTATGGATGGAAGGAACAGGTAATATACTGAACTACAGTGGTACCTCGGGTTGCGAACGCCTCTGTTAACAAATTTTTCGGGTTATGACCAGCTCCGGCCCCAAAAATTTACCTCGGGTTACGAACTGGATCCGCGGCCATTTTCCCTGCTGCCACGCGGTTGCGGCTTCCTGTGGGCGAGATTGCGGTAGCAAGGAGACATTCAGTGAGGCTTGTGGTGTGTTTTGTGGCATTTTGGAAGGTTTTTGGTGTGCTT